GAAAGGGCGGCTCACGGAACCAACCGCTTGCACACTGACTTTGCCAGTAAAATAATCGGATTGTAAGGCATGTAAAAGAAAGCCAACCTCCGAATTATCACCGCCTTTTCGGAGCTGAGCCAATTCATTTTCGATGCCTAGCATGATAATTTGCATATTATGCTGCGTTTCTGCCCAGTCGTTCCAGTTCTCACGAACTGCTTTAATTTGACTCATCAGATGTTCTACTCGCTTGATTGCCTCCTCATAGCCTTTCGACAAAGATGTGAATTCGTCCACTAATCCGGAAAAATCGCCAGCAAATGAATCGGAGACCAAAAAACTCCGCAACTCCTCCTGCTCTTCGAGCAAACGCTCATGAATATCCTACAAATTCGAAACACTTTGACTTAGGAAAAGTGTTTTTCTGTCATATGGTAGTGCTTATTGCTCCATCTTACAACAACGAGATAATCCACCGTGGAACAACCCGATTTCTTATTTCCGTCACAAAAATAATAAGGGAAAGTTTAACTAGAAAATCAAGCTGAACAATAAAAACATATTGCCAGTCAAAACATCCGCTTTAACACCGTTGAATTGAGTATGAAGCACAGTGCCGATGTTAAGTCACGGGGCGCGTCACAGTGCCGATCTTTTTCACGAATTTTCCCTCAGAACTGAGAACCCCGAATGTTAAAGCTTTAAATAATTTGGTCAGCAAGATATTCTCCAAATCCAGTAACAGCCAGCTAACTCGAAAGGCATTTGTATACTCATATGTGTTTAACACTGTAGGATATGTTTGCAAAGTTCTAACCCTGGCAAGTTGTCAGAGTGTGGGAGTGACAAAGGACTAGGGAAGGTGGAATACGATGAAGTATAAATCTGGCAGCTACTAGCATGCTGAAAAGAAAGTGACGGCAGAATTTTTGAATTAAGCGGTACCGGTCACTCATAGTTTGACCAGCCGAAGGTGGTGTATTAAGCAGAAGAAGTAAAACGAATACTGTACGGCGTGACATGATGGCAGCAAGAAATGAAGCTGAAAATGTAATCGGTGCATTACACCTCCTTCAAGCCCGGGTTACTGCGGGGTACGGCAGCAGGAGGGCAAGGAAGTGCGCCGAATCTCAGGCGATCAGAGGATATGGCGTGCAACGGCCTGCACCTCTCTCTATGCACTTACATGTGCAGCTCGTTATCGCGGAAAGAACTGAGGGACAAGCTTATTTTTCGCACGACAGCGTTGGCCTTCTTACGTGCATTATTTCTCGTGAATTTCAGAACATCAGCTTACTTTCCGGAAAAAGCTCCTCCAACAGTACAACGGCAGCACATGATGATTTCGAGAAGGAATGGAGTTGGGAGGGGAAGAAGGAAAATGAAAATACCGCAAGTAATAAAGGATCCACTTGTTCGTCCGCTTGAACAACAACAACAAAAAAAAAAACAATTGCCGCTCTTTTTTTCTAAAAAGCACATGCATGAGCGCCACGGTAAATAGACTAAACACTCTCCCACACAAAGACGATATAGGCGAATGAAGCGCATCATTTCCCTTCCTCCTGCCCTTTCCACTTCAACTCGCCCTGCAACTTACACGTGGTTACCCTACATTCACCAATTTGCATGAAAATTTGCTTAGAGGATGCACGAATCACAGGAACAGATCAAGCCGAAGCTGCCCTACGAACACAGCGCAAGAAAAGTGACAATCAAAATGGTAATTAATAGTAAATTTAAAGTTTCGAACGATTTACCTCAAAAATCTGCTGCGCACTTATAACATCGTTTAGTGACTGAATCGATGAGAGAGTACCTAGGGAAGAGGAAGAGGAGAAAGAGCTGGAACGGTGCTCATCATCCTGAATTAGCTTTAACGATGATGCAAATTTTTCAATTTTCGATAAGATAGCAGGTAGTGACGAAGGTTCCTGCCTGACTGATGGAGGTAACGGTAGTGCCAGGGGACAATCATTGTTGTTGCTGCCGGTGGTATCCGTACTACTAATTATATGTTGCGGTTTGAGTGCTACAGTAGTAACTAATTGGGATTTCGGATAGTGCTGATAGAGGCATAAATTCGCGGGAGTATTTGATGTTGACACTGGCGCCGGTATCCTCGCCGCCATCGCTATTTTTCCAAATTCCGGATTCCACTTTTCAATATCACAGTTCTGAAATGGCGGCTGAAAATCGTCATTAAAAAAATCGCCGCAGTCCTAATTTTCATATCATCATTACCACTAAATCAGATCTGTCGCTACTTCAGCAAATGTAAATGTCCGAAAAAATCAAGCTGCAGTACGAGAGCGCCATATAG